AAGCCTGAAAAAAAGATGTCACTACTTTAAAGAAGCCATTTGTTAACTTTAATGCGAATATTCAACAATGGCATCTTTTTTTCAAGTTCATATTGAAATATGGGAAAAAATCAGTTTTAAAAGTCAGCTTTAATTGTAACAAATAATGAAACATTTGGGAGGGTGCAGAGTTGAAATTACTTTTAGATAGAAGAAAAGGTATATCGCCTTGCACATATCAGAAGTAAAATAATTAAGAAGTATAGAATTATAATTAGATAGCAGAACACATGTTCTGTAATACAGATGGTTCCAAGTGTAAATCTGGCACCTTCTTTCTGAACTCTGGAGAGCTAGTGCTAATCCATTTAAATTAATGATGACAACTGCTTGACAACTGGATCCATTTTTTAAAAAAAAAATCAACTGATTTGGACTATAGAAAAGCTAAAATGGAATTATCTCATTAAAGGAATAATGGTAAGAGTTTCAGCTTCACTGCCTGCTTTCTCTATTAACCCTGTCAAAAGCATGACATATCTATATCCTTTAAATGCCCACACAACACTGAGCTAATGTTATTGGGTGGTTTGCCTCCTATTTTTGGTTATTCTGAAGCAGCAAATGAAGGGTGAACTCTGATAATGGGTTGATCAATTCAGATATATGCAGTGCTGAGCCCATCAACCAATGGTGTAATTCATTAACGTTATATGTTAATATTTAAATATATTACTAATATTAATATTCAAAGATATTACTACCATATTTACAATAGAGATGAAAAATAAGTTTGAACTACTGGATACTGCTAAGAAGATGCCTGATGAACTGTGGCAGGAATTGACCATTATTGGAATTGCAGAATACATACCATACAAAAAGCCAGAGAAAAAAGAGCAAGTGGCTCTTAGATGAAACTATCAAAATAGCTGAGCAAAGAAAAGCAGCCAAGGCTGCAGGCAAATGAGAGGAAGTAAGAAGACTGAATGCTACTTTCCAGAGGGCAACAAGGAAGGATAATGCAATTTATTGGGATGAGTGATGTAAACAGTTTGCAGTGGACTACATGAAAGGTCACACCTGAATGCATTTATGCAAGTTGAAAAGATCTAAGCATCTTTTATTGCTCATAAAAGCATTATTTTAAAAAAATCAAGGGAAAGAACTGTCCAACTAACAAGGCATCAAGAACAGATGGTGAGAATATACAGAAGAATGTACACATGTAGCAAAGGGTCTCAGCCTAAGGAAGACAAGGAAAGAGAAGTAGAAATAGAACAGGCCAATCTTGACAAAGAAATCATATGGGCAATGAACCAACCGCCAACAATAAGACTCCATGGATTGACACTGTCCCTGCAGAATTACTAAGATGTGTATCATCCAGACTCATTGGAAACCTGTGCCACAAAATCTGGGACACCATGTGGCCACAGGATTGAAAACTTCAGTGTTTCTTACACAGCCAAAAAGACAGCTACAATTATTGCACACTTGCTTTCATCCCTCACATCAGCAAGGGTCTGCTTAAAATTATGAAACATCTAGAACTAACAATCAAAAGGGAATTACCAGATGTCCAAGCTGGCTTCTGAAGGGTTTGTGGCACCCGCGACTCTATTGTAAATTTACACTAGATCATGGAAAAATTTCATGAATATCAAAATATCTTTTACATATGCTTGATCGACTGCAAGAAAGCCTTTGATTGCACTGATAATGAGAAGCTATGGAGAGCACTACAAGACCTGGGGTTCTCAGCATTTCTGGTCAAGTTGGTGCAATCACTGTACAGAAATCAGGAAAGCACTGTGCAATCACCATATGGAGACTCCGATTTATTGAAGATAGAGAAAAGGAGTGTGACAAGGTTACATTCTCTCCCCTTTCTTATTGTAAGCCAAAATGATCATGAGGAAGCTAGATCTTGAGTATCTTGAATATTACTTGGAAAGCAAAAGTGACTAACAGGCAAGTACTGGAGTGCATAACACCAGATATGTCACTAGAAGACAAAATCACAAAATTGCATCTCACTTACCTTGGAAATGTCATGCAGGGAGATTCACTGAAGAAAGCAATTATGTTTGGAAGAGTTAGTGGTAAAAGGAAACCACACCATCAAAGAATATAGTGGCTTGTCATCATCAAAGCTACACCAGCCAGACCATAGGACAACTCAAAGTCCCATAGAATTGCCACAAGTCGGAGTCAACTGAACAGATAACATCATCACCATCAATAGGATCTTTTATTTTATTATTAATTACTGTCCAAAGCTTTGAGGAAGTGTTAAACCGTTCTTCCAAATGTGTTGCACTTTAGATAAAAATTACCTAGTTTGCACTTAGGAATAAAAAAATAATATACTGACATTAATGCAAGCCATGCTGTTAATAGACTGTGTAGTTAGGATCTTTATTCACTTGGCACTTACCAAGTGTGTTGATAACTATAGTTTTAATTGGCTTATGGGCTTGAAGTTTGATTACTTTTTTTTTCAACACTGTATTAACTTCATCCACATTCATAGTAGTGAATATTAATGTGGCATGAGTGATATAGACACTGAACCTAATTTAGTAATTGTGCACTTGTAATCTCACCAAAGGCCCTCTGGGATATTATTATGGAGATTTATGAAAAAATGCAATTGTAGTAATTTTGGGATGTCTTTTTTTTTTATCAACGGAGATTTTTGTAGTATGAAAAGCTAAAATAACTTCAGATATATTTACAACAATTACTATTAACTTTCTGGCACTAGTTCTAGAACTCTGTGACAGAATCAATATTTCTACCCTGTTGTTGCCCTAAAGCAACAACTCAACATCTGCAAATGAAATCAATTTACTTACTACATGGATATAAAGTAAGATGCAAAAAAAATTGAATTTTGGCTTTATATAGTTTATTTTCTATAACAAACTCAAGGAGATCAGAATTAACCTTGGAATTATTTTTTGATATTTTTTTCTTGGAAATACATTTTTGACTATAATTTACTTAGAACTACAGGTTATTACATTCATATCAATGTTATATTAATGGTATAATATGACTCACAATACAGTTTTAAACTTTCACATGTAGAAAGCATACTAGCTGTCTTCTGTAGCATTGCTTTCAATTTAAGAAAGAAGCAAGCAACAACCCAATATCTCATAGTCATAGCCAATCTTATTTCTCCAGACAAAAATAATTAAGGAAATGAGTCACAGCCTTAATTTTGTGAGAGAATACAGCCAAATCATGATACATCCCTTGCTATCAAAACTGAAATCTTTTTAATGTAATGAGAATTCTACCTTACCAATGAAGCGATGAGAATAAAAGCTTTCACAAGTAAGACAAATACAAGAAATTGTTCATAGTTTATAAGGCTCAATAAAATAACAAAGGAAGCTTACTTAATATATAGTTACTACAATGCTATACTTAACTCATCTTACTGAGTATTGATTTATTAATTCTTATAATTCTGAAATATATCATATGCCATAAATACAAAAAAGTTCAGGACTGTTATGGTGGCAAGGTTCTATTCTAATGGGACCATCTGCAAGCAGGTTGCATAAAAGACAACATAACCATTAAAAATTGAAGGAATGAGACAACTCATTTTTATTTACAACACTTATACAGATGGGTTTAATATGACTAATATTCATCTTATTGTATGATTTGAGCACCCACATAGACATCTTGAAACTGTTGTGTTTATTATTATAGTAATAGATGAGACCTTGTATGATGTTAGTAGGGTCATTGTTATGTCTAGTAGATGTGTAAGTTTTAATCCTGCAAAACTATCCATAGTTACTTGTTTGACATAGTTACTTGACATAGTTACTTGTTTGACATTTATAGGCTATATAAACCATATAAATAAGTATAAATATGTAAATAAAATATGTTTAATCTAAGCCTAAAATGTTATAAAGCTCCACTGAAATGGTTCATTATTTCAGGAAAATAGAGAGATAGTGATGCACCGAAAAGAAAATAACAAATGTGAGCAGGGAAAAATTGTTCATTATTCAAAATTCTTCTTTGCCACTTATGTCAAATAAAGAGAAAACAATGTACAAAACACAAGCTAGTATTTCAAGTAGTATTTTCAAAAAGCATTTCAAATTTTATAATTGTTCTAAAGACTCTCATTCACCATCCCTTATTCTTCTTTTGTCATATGTTTCTAAGTCTTAATTAATGTTATTCATTCCATCAAGTCTCACTTGCCTTGTTCCCCCCCCCAATTTACATGTGCACCTACATCCCAAATGCATCTTGTGGCATCTTCTGTCATTTACACTATAATGTATACTTCAGTTACATTATAAAATGTGGCTAAAACATATCCATAGCATTGTACTAAACCAATGGTTCTCAACTTTTTAATGCCGCGATCCCCAACTGGTTGTACGTCGAGGACTACCCAACCGGTCGTAAGTCGAGGACTACCCAATCGGTTGTAAGTCGGGGACTTTCCCTGCCCGGGAGCACCACACATGCATGGTGCTGCCCTCTGCGCCGGCCGAAGCATAGCTGGCAAGTGGCAGAGATGGTGCAGGCCGACCACCGGCTGGGCCAACAGCTGGCCCAGCCTAAGGAAGGTAAGGCACCTGCCGGGCCCCATGCACACCAGCAACCCTCCCTGCGCCCGCCGGCCTCCCACCTCTCACTCCTGGCCGTCTTTTACTTACATTTTTAGTAGTTGCTCAGCAGAGAGGGGTGGAAACTTCCAGACAGCTCGCTTTCGCTGCAGACAACTTGCAGCACCGTTTGCAGAATGGTACTTTTGGCGGGCTCAGCAGGGCAGAGACAGCCCGGACAATTCCTATTGGCTTTTGAAAGCCAATAGAATTAGACTCTATTCAAGAGAGTCTATTCTATTGGCTTTCAAAAGCCAATAGAATAAAAGGGAGTGGCACGGCTAAGGAAAAGGGGGAAAAATGGCGGACTGCTTTGTTTGGCGACCCCCGTGAAATGGTCATTCGACCCCAAATGGGGTCCCGACCCACAGGTTGAGAACCGCTGTACTAAACAGTATTCTATATTTGAGAGCATACTTGCTTAAAAAATACATATTTTTAAAAAAAAGTAAAAAAAAAGCTTGATAAAAGTTTCAAGAATGCAATTTGTGTGGGGGTGCTATTACCCTAGTTAAGAGAAGCTAGGTTTACAGAGGATGGTGATATCTATGTGAGTGTGCCAACTTTTCTTATACAATCATTTTCCTGGCACCTATGTTTTATCTAGCTTTTCATGCTCTAGTTAAAAGACTATTAAGATCATATAATTTGTTTAAATTGTAAACCACTTTGTGTTGTGATTTTATTGTGCTATAGAAATAATTTAAGTAATTTAAGAGCCATGTCTCTTGTTTTTCAGGAGGAAATGCAAACAATTGAAAAGGCTACGAAACAAAGAAGATATTAATTATTGGGGGGGGAAGGAACCCTGAATCATTTTCAATCACTTTGCATTAGTAAGAGAAAAGTCATTATAAAAAAAAAAGAATTGGGAAAGATACAGAAAAAGATAACAGAAAAAAATAGAAGATTCTTCTGCAGAGAAAGATAACATTTGGAAGACAGATGGAAGGCAGATTTTTGTCATAGTACTAAATTTTGTCCACATATAAAGCAGAACACAGGTTTTTTTTCCCAACTATAGCCTATGTCAGAGCATTTATCATATAAAATGTATATGCAACTCCCAAATAGATTCCATGCTAATTCCAACACAGCTATAATCCCAAAGAAACTAATCTGAAGCCGTTATTTAACTAGGATGTTGGAGGTCTATCAATGTTATGGAGATGTGTCACCATTAAAAAGACCTTTGGCTCACTCTTCCAACCCTGAGATTTAGGACTTTTAAGGGGGACAGAGGCCCAAAGTGGCCCAAAGGAAGAGAGCTGGAGTGAAATTGATAAGTTCTGTCTGTTTTTCACTACCCCTCCATGAGGACAGCCAAATGGAGAGCACTACATATATACTGCTCAAAAAAATAAAGAGAACACATCCTATAAGAAATCCTATAGGATGTGTTCCCTTTATTTTTTTGAGCAGTATATTTGCTTTTCTGAAAGAGCTTTTATTTCTCTCCTTTTTAGAGAGAAAAGGACAAGGGAACTTTTTTTGCAACAAAATGTTTTTTGTCCACAAAGATGCAAGAGCAACAGCAGTAAAAAAAAGACCATGGGTCATTTTCAGATTGATTTTGAAAGATTGGGAATGCAAACAGTGGTAATTTGGAAGCCTTCTGCTCATTGAAGAACATTTATGCCAGGGTGACTAGTATCAAAAATACTTTGTCCATTTTCCAGATTTTGCTTCAAGGATTGGAAAATTACAATGAATCTGTAGACTCTTCCATTGATTATACTTCCTCAGAATTTGGGTATGCTAAAATTCTTTTTCCAATAAAACAATTAAGAATGACATTGAAGCCTTCTAAGTTATTAAATTGTATAAGGTACTATTTATGCTTTATTTGCTATGTATCCCAGTTGCTTTTGCGCATGTTTCTTTTGTGCCAGTTCTGTTCGTGTAAAAAAAAAACCATACAATACAAGGTCCCATTCTAAAACAGTTAATTCAGTGATAAACATTGCAAACAAAAAAGTGCAATTGATATAATTGCACCATATATATGGCTGTCTCAAAATTCTTTTTTCCATATATATGCCAATTTGCTGTGTAGCATTTCATCAATTAGGAAAGAGAATTGTTAATGGTTCATATGTGTGATCACATCACAAAAGTTCATTCCATTGGATACTAGGGAAATGGCCCTGATATTTACCATAATTGCTTCTGGGCATCTGTATTACTCAACAGAATAAGTGACTTATTGATTTTCAAAGGAGCTAGGATTGATGATATGAATGGAAGTGACTGACAAAAAAAACTATCCATGTATGATTGAATCTTAATAAACATGAATTACATATCATTACATAGCACTGATGATCTGAAGAAATTGTTTTGGGGATTTTATAGGTTTTATATTTTATTGTTCTACTTCCATATTTAAAGTAAATTTATAACCTGTCCAGATATCTTACTCCAGGTGGAGTAGGAAAATCAAATTTCTAACTAAAGCAGAAATATATTCATTAAATCTGACAGTTAAATGAACTAGCAGGTTTAAAAAGGACGTGGGCATGCATGGTAAAGAACAGACACTTTTCCACAGATAGAAGCAATTAATGAGTTGCCTTCCAGAACTATAAAGATCTAGGTTATGTATAATTGTCAGTTAGTATAACCTGTATCTTCACAGGTTACCAATTATGCCAGTTTCTTCTTGAATAAATATGACCCTACTTTTAAGAGAAGTTCGTAAGTTTTTGGACTGCATTTACTAAAGTGCTATTTTCTTTAATAATTTGTGAAAGATGCAGTTTTGTGAAAAGCAGACTACCAGAAACAATTCTGGTTGACTATATATTTTCTATTTATTCTTAAATCATAGAAAATTCTACCAGTAGTACAGAGGCACTTTCTTTTTAACTCTCTTTTTTAAAACATACTTTTTGGGAGGAGTTAAATACAGGCTTTAATTTATATGTTCCTTATTTGGTTTGACACAGGGAAGTAAAAAAGTGAAGATGGCAGCTATGACCAAATCTTATCATGTTTTAATACGTGTCACAGCTTACATATTCATCTTTGGGATTTCCCTTATGGAATCCCTTGAATGATGCTTGAGGAATCATTCAAGAATAAATATAAGCAATATGTCAGTGAAGATTCTCAGTCATCCAGGTAGAGTTGTCTGGAAACTGAGGCAGCGCAACTGGCCTTCTTTTCTTTTTGGTTAAAATGTTTCATTGCTTATCCATATCATTTCTTTGGTCTGAACAAATTGGTTAGGGGTGCTCCATATATGTCCTCCAGGATGGTTTCATTTTTCACCTAATCTAATAGGCTTATTAGGCAGAAAGTAGGCAGAGGGTTATTAAGAATTGTTGCTTCTAAATCTTTTCTCCTAGGTGGGTCATTAAGTGTGGTTTCTCTAGTGAACCTATGAAGTGGTCTTGATCTTCATGGGGATTGATGCAACAGCAGCATAAAAAAAAATAAGGGACTGGTTGTGTCTGTGGCCTCCATCTCTATTGAGAGAAGAATTTTCCACTTTGGCATAAATGGATTCCTTCACTCCTTTCTCAAAATATCTATCTTCCCTTTCCATTAATTGTCCTCAAAAGAATGTCCTTTTAAATGAAGATATACTGCAGGTTCTGTTCCTGTGGTGTTGCTTCTCCTAAGCTGGGCCATCCTTTTGTGTAAAGGCCAGTAGTGAGATTCAGCTGGTTTGTACCAGTTCAGCAGAACCGGTAGCTAATTTTTTGTTGCCCAGGCCCAGAATAGACTTCCAAAAGCAGCATCCATACAGAGAACCGGTTGTTCACATATTTGAATCCCACCACTGGTAAAGGCTACTTGGTTTCTCCAAGGTAGAGCTTTGGTATGGTGAGGAGTGTTCAGAGCTCTACCTTGGAGAAACCAAGCACTCTTTACACAAAAGGATGGCCCAGCACAGGAGAAGCAACACCACAGGACATATATGGGCTCTCCTTAAACAACTTGTTCAAAATGAAGAAGCTACTTGGATAAGCAGCAAAACCAAGATAACCAAAAAGAAAAAAAGACCAGTTGCCATGACTCAACTTCCAAACAATTATAAGCAACAGATAATGCAAGAAAATAAGCTGTAAATACGGACAAAATATATTGTTGAATTTTGCTCAGTTACTGCTGTTTTGTTTTTATAGTATAAAAATTATTTTTTTCTTGTTCTGGATATTATTTTGAAATAGAAATTACACAGGTTTCTAACACAAGTAAGTCTTGTATTATTCTTAAATTGACTTTATCTTTTGCTAGAGCAGGAAAGTGATATGAGGACCAGGAAGTCTATCTGAAAACCTCCCACTTAGTTTAGGTCCTATAAGCATTTCATGATCATGTTGAATGTTATGTAATGAACATCATTTATTTTATTCTTTCTCTCTCTTCAGGCTCTGGCAACTGCCAGACAATGATAAGACATTCCCACCAACCATCTGGTGTCTGCCAAATGGAGTGTCTAGTCAAGTTATACTCTAGTATTTGCCGAAAGAAATTCAGCGTCTTCATCAGGAAAGATAGGGAAAAAAAACAGTGCTCTTTCTTAAAGAATAAAGCGGATATCTAAATGGCTATAAAAAGTGTTTTAGTGTGGCTCCTACAGGGGACAAGGAAGTCCCACTATTGAATACATTTTTAAAACAACCAAGATGAAAATTGTCATTAATGTAACAATGTTAATATGCAGATCCCTTTATTGTGTCTTTTCTCAACATCTCAGAATAATGTAAATTGTAAGCTGCACTTATTTTTCATATCACTTATGATAATATACATAGGTTTTATATCCTCATACATGTCTGTATTCTTTAGTTATATAAGACTGCAATGAGCCATTACATAGGAAAATCTGCTATTCTGATTTGGATTTCGTTCTTTCAGTCTTTAACCTTTACATGAAGAGCTTTTCTGTAGGTTAACAGACTGCAGTGTTCCATGTAGAATTATCATTATCAACAGATTAGAGAAAAAGATAATATCCCCCATAATCCTTCCAAGGTCTAGTCGTGCCAATGCAATCCATGTATATAGGCCTCTCAGCTAATTTAAGGATGAAGTTTTGAATACAGCTCCATTGAGGGGTCTAAACTTGGCAATGTTGCAACAAACACAATTACCATGTTTCCACAAAAATAAGACCTACCCTGAAAATAAGCCTTAGCTTGATTTTTACACATGCGCCAAATATAAGCCCTACCCCCAAAATAAGCCCTACTTAAGACCCCACCCACTCCATTGCAGTTGATTGCTCAAGGTGGGGCGAGGCACACGGGTAAAAATCAAGGTAGGGCAGGGATTGGAGGTGGAGCTGCTCCACATGGCCTGCACCCCCTTACCTTAGGACAGTTGCAGCCAGGCCTCCCATACCCCAACATCTGCCTCGCCTTGCTGGCCCACTTCTTCAGCCACTCGCCACCACTTGCGCACATCATCCCAGGGTCCATTTTACCGGCAGAGGCTTTCAGGAAAGGCCTCTGCAACCAAGAAATGAGGCAAAAAAAGTATAAGACTGGGTCTTATTTTTGGGAAAACACAGTACAAAAAATATAGACTCTTGTGATTCAAGTTCAACTTTGGATGACTAATGTTTTTGACAGCAATATGTTACTCCATCCCCCAGCATATTTTTCAATTTTCTTTTATAAACTAGATCTCTGGGATTTCCTGTCAGTCTACCAATCAAATATTTACTATATACAGCTCTGCTTAACAGCACCTAGATCCATTAGGTGTTGCTGCTGTCGGCACATCTACAAGAGTTGCAAATCGAGTGAACTGCAATATATTGTATTAGCATCAGCAGCAAAATAAGCATACAAAATACTTTAGGAACATATGAAATGGCTTGTGTTCATACCATTCCATAGTTTCAAGCAGTTTGCGCTAAGCAGAAATTGATGTATTTAGTTCAGTTATAGAATTAAATGGAACTTTTTTTGTTTCAGATATGGATTAAAATGCAACAGCTCCAGACAGCAGGCTTAGATAAAGGTAAAGGGTAAAAATATGGGAAAGCCAAAGATACTGACAGTACTGACTGGTAGAAAGAGAGGAAGGAACCCAAAGCCATTGGGAAGATCAGGAGCAGGTGGACCAATGAAACATCTTCCTCTGTGTTATTAATGTTGATTATTAATATGTAATTAATAGGAAGAATAGACACTGAAAAAATGGATCATACAATATGATATGCCACATAGGGAGCTGTTAAGATGAAAGATGGAACAATACACATCAGATCTATGCATTTTATTGTTGTATTTTCTGGCCCAAAGACCACCATAAAGGTTTTCTTTATTTGATTTGATTTGCACACTTGCTCTCACCAATTAATAAAATCACTACATAATCCCCGAAGGTTTGTTTTATCTGATATATGAATTGGTAAACATATACTTGTCTTTGTACTGTTCTTGATGAACCATTTAGCAGAATTTCCACTACATAATCAAATAGGATGAATTTTACTTACACACATAACCTACAATTTACACTCCAACCAGAAGATGGCAGCAGAAAAACTTCTGTAATTCTTTTGGCCACTGGTAGCTACAAACTAGTAGGAATTACAAAATTGGTCCAATCTATTAATGTAATTCAAAATATTAACTTCCTTTAAGAAATCTCAGTAATATTATCATGTTATTCATTGATTTCTGTTACCCATGTATTTTCTCAAATAATATATTATTCACACCTTAGACCATCTTTTATTCTCCTCTGAAATCAGTTAAGTTTATTAACACATTGCAACTCCCCAAATTGAAAATGTATATTCCAGATGAGACTGGAGTTATATCTAATAATAAACTAGTAATCTGGTTCTAAGGAACTGGGCCAGAATCAGCAGATTTATAGACTGAATTGTTTGGGTTACCCAACATTTGCTGCACTGATAGGCACAATATTTATTTATTTATTTGCAGGACTTTTAGGACACTCCAATTAGAACCAGTTTTGTGTGTATGTGTGTCCTTTAGTCATGACCAGTAACAAGGCCAAAATATAGGAAGAGATGCTAAACATGGTAAATACAGGAAGAGATGCTAAACATGATAAATAAATTTCTGAATCTCCATCTAAATTCCATTATCATTCCTGATCATTTTTCTATAAATAACCTACAGCCTTAAATCTATGGTTTGAAGTGGTCTTATGAACCATACACAAATGCATACACACAGTGCTTTTTTTCTAAAAAAAAAAAAAAAGTGCCGGAACTCACACATGTCATACAACCCGCCTTGTCTACCCTACAAGGTTCCATCCAAAAAAGGTGCCGGAACTCCATTCTGGGCATTCTATGAGAAAAAAAGCCTTGCATACACATATAAACAGATACATAGATATGTTTCTGATGCTACCATATTGCTATGCTAATACCAGAAGCAATTAAAAAATTAGAGCTGTATAGAAAGGTCTCTTTCAAATATTACATTCATTATAACAAAGTGAAATCTGAAAAAAAGAGAAACCATTCTGGAATGCAGGCTTTCAATAGGACTGATTTAAACAGGACACAGGAAATAAAACAGATGCACTTATATTTTCAGGTCTCAGATTAATTTCTATACATATGTTACTTTAGCTTTGACCTTTTATTTCACACACAGACAAAAATACTTGTCGTTCTACATTTTTTAAGTATACATAATTGTAGAGAAGATCATGGAAATGTCACTGAATAGCAAGCCCTCAACAGTTCAACTCTATTTTACATATTGTACTTGTCTACCATGTTGCAATATTTCTCCTATGGTGACTTATGATCATATTTTAGAATGCTGTTTGTAGAAAAGCAAAAAAATGAAAAAAATTAGAGATTTCCTACAGTTCAAGAAAGGAAACTCACATTTGGGGGCAGTTTGTCACAGGGAAATAAAGAAATAAAGCTAAGAAACAGAACAGGAGAAGACTGCAGCAGTTGACATATCAAATTTGACCTGCGTGTCCCAAGGGAAATAAAAATTAAAGGAGGCAAGTTTCAAAGGAAATGAATAGAAGCATTTAATGTATCATCAAGAAGATAACAAGGAATAAAGAGAGAAATCATGTAGCCTGGGAAAAGATAAGAACATAGGCAAAATGTACAATGGGGAAGAAATAAAACAAAAAGATTTATATAACTAGAGACAATACAGTGGAGAAAAATAGAATTCAGTTGGCTGGTACACATAGATTAGAGTAAAATGGTAAAGATTCCTGCAACTTATACATTATAAAACTGCCGTGGGAGTTTTAAGTTGTTATGTAAACATGGTCCAGAATCATCTCCCATACAGGAGATTTGGTCTGCATAATCAAGAAGACATTTAAGAACACAATATTTACAAAAAGCAAGCCATGCAGTAACTTGCTGCAAATCTGGAAATGTGGTGCCTGAGAACAGAATTGGACATTTCCTAGTTAAAACAATCACGAAAGCCTAATATACTGCAAGTTTGTCGTATTTACATTTTTCCTGTCAGAACTGGGATTTGTTATTTTTATTGCAATAAAACAAGAAACTGAAGTTCATAAATGGGAAGTTCTCATTTAAGCAGCAGCATGATTAAAACCAAGGTTTGCTTGTAGACAATTCCATAAAGAATCCTTACAAGATAAGGATTAAATAGTATTTCCCAAAAATTATGAGGGCAATTAGGAAATAAACCTTCATCAATGACAGACACTCGCAGATACTGAACATTTATTATACACATTAGAAAACTATAACATTACATTACTTTTTGACATATTCACCATTCAAATTGAAGTACTTGTCATAATGTCTTACAGTGTTTGAAATTCCTTAGTAGTAGTCGCTTGGTGCCAAATCTGGGTACGGGGGTGGTGATCAAAAACATCCCAACGGAATTGCTTCAAAAGTTCTTGGGTGCGTCTAACAGTGTGACGACAAGCATTATTGTGAACCAACACCACACCGGAAGTCAGCATGCCCTGATGCTTGTTATGGATGGCTCGTCTGAGTTTTTGTAATGTTTCACAGTAGACTTCTGAATTGATAGTCAAACCACATCCATGAACTTGACTAACAGAACTCCTTTGGCTTCTTCATTTGGTGGGATTTTCTATGGCACCACTTCTGATGTAGTGTCGGTTCACGATAATGCTCACCTGCACACCACTAGATGCACCCAAGAACTTTTGAAGCACTTAAGATGTTATGACAAGTGCCTCAATTTGAATGGTGATTATGTTGAAAAGTAATGTAATGTTATAGTTTTCTAATGTGTATTCTAAAAGTTCTGTATCTGCGAATATCTGTCATTGATAACCAAACAGGTGTTTTATTTCTGAATTGCCCTCATATTATATCTCTAACTTCTGCAAGCTGACTTTTCTGGAACTACGTGGCATCCAAATATGATATATAAAATGAAAACCCTCTAAAATGCAAAATCTTCCAGAGTTTGAATAGAAAAATATCATCCCTAAGCTGCAAGCAATCTAATTTTAGACATGGTATGACAAGTAAAGGATATGCTTGGGATCAGGTAGGAAGAGGAATAAGACCATAGCAACAGTAAGAATGTATAATTGGGGTGCTTCTGCATGTTCATATCTTGACAGTAGAGCAAGAAAAGAGTGACTTGTATTTTCAAAGTAATCACCAAAAAGAGACCAAGGAAGCAACTCTGTGGCTAGTTATCTGTTGAAATAGCACCCTAAGGAATAGAAGTTAATAAAAAAGAATATAAACTAAGAGCTTTTGCAGATGACTTGGTGGTTACCTTGTCTCAACCTACCTATTCTGTGGTAGAGTTGTTACAATTGATTTACCAATATGGACGGGTTTCGGGATTTAAAATTAATAATAATAAGACTAAAATATTACCCAAAAATATGACTAATTTGGATAAGCAGACTTTGGTTAACTTGACAGACTTTGAAGTTGTTGATAAGATAAAATATTTGGGGGTCATTTTATCTGTTTCTAATGTAAAATTGTATAAAAATAATTATGAAAGGTTGTGGGTCAGGGTACAAAGAGATTTGAAAAATTGGGAGAAGTTGCAATTATCCCTTATGAGAAGAATTGCGGTGATTAAAATGAATGTCCTGCCAAAGTTTCTCTTTTTATTTCAAATGATACCTATCTTAAAGAATGAGGTTAATTTAAATGAATGGCAGAAAGGTATCAATAAATTTATTTGGGCAGGGAAAAAACCAAGAGTAAAGCTTAAAATTATGCAAGATATTCGTGAGAGAGGTGGACTCAAGGTACCGAATTTGAAATTGTATTATGATGCTGTGGCTTTAACATAGTGACTGGGTTAATTTAACAAATGTAGAAATACTCCACTTGGAGGGTTGGGATTTACTTTTTGGATGGC